GTGTGTCAGTATGTATGTCTGTGTGTGTGTGTCAGTATGTATGTCTATCTGTCAGTATGTCTGTGTGTCAGTTTGTCTGTGTGTGTCAGTATGTTTGTGTGTGTCAGTATGTCTGTGTGTGTGTATCAGTATGTCTGTCTGTGTGTCAGTAAGTATGTCTGTGTGTATGTCAGTATGTATGTCTGTTTGTGTGTCAGTATGTCTGTGTGTGTGCCAGTATGTTTGTCTGTGTGTCAGTATGTCTGAGTGTGTGTCAGTATGTATGTCTGTGTGTGTCAATATGTCTGTGTGTGTCAGTATGTATGTGTGTGTATCAGTATGTATGTCTGTGTGTGTCAGTTTGTATGTCTGTGTGTGTCAGTATGTGTCTGTATGTATGTCTGTGTGTCAGTCAGTATGTCTGTGTATGTGTCAGTATGTATGTCTGTGTATGTGTCAGTATGTATGTCTGTGTGTGTCAGTATGTATGTCTGTGTGTGTGTGTCAGTATGTGTGTGTGTCAGTATGTCTGTGTTTCAGTTTGTTTGTGTGTGTGTCAATATGTCTGTGTGTGTCAGTATGTATGTCTGTGTGTGTGTGTGTCAGTATGCCTGTGTGTGTGTCAGTATGTGTCTGTATGTATGTCTGTGTGTCAGTCAGTATGTCTGTGTGTGTCAGTACGTATGTCTGTGTGTGTCAGTATGTCTGTCACAGTGTCAGTATGTCTTTTACAGTGTGTCTGTATGTTGTATGTATGTATCTGTGTGTGTGCCAGTGTGTATACCTGTGCATGTATCTGTATGTAGCCAATGTGTGTATCTGCATGTGTGTCAGTGTATGTCTGTGTATCTGCGTGTGTGTTAGTGTTTGTATCTGCATTTATCAGGTTATGTATCTGTGTGTCTGTATATTGTCATTGTGTGTGTCTGTGTATCTGTATGTTGTCAGTGTATCTGCATGTGTGTCAGTGTGTGCATCTGTGTGTCTGCATGTATGTCAGGTTGTGTGTCTGTATGTGTGTGTGTCAGTGTGTGTAAATGTGTCTGTAAAGCTGCATCTGTATGATTGTGTATATCTGTGTATCTGCAAGTGTTCTCTGTGTGTGTGTGTGTGTGTATTGTGTATCACAGTGTGTGTGTGTATTTGTGGCAGTGCATGCGTATATGTGCATACATCTCAGCATACAAACACCAACACTACACGCAAAAAAACCCACCTGCATTCAAACATCAACACTACATATAAACACACCTCTTTTTTTAAACAACAACATTATATATAAACACACCAGTGCATTCATAAATCAACACTACACATAAATGCATGCTTGCATTCAAATGCCATCTCCACATACAAACACAGCCCAACATTCACACAAACATACTGCATACAAAAACATGCTTACACTCAAACACAGAAATACTGCTCAGTGCTAAATGCAACCCTGAATGCATGGTAGAGCCCCAGCTGTCAAAGCATTGTTGGAGTTGCATGTAGACATGTGCAATTGGTTTCGGTCCGAATATGAATTCGGACGAATTTTGGGCAATTCGGACATTCGGGTACTTCCGAATGTCCGAATTGCCGAAGTGCCGAATTGCCGAGGTCCCTAAAGTTCCGAAATTACTGAATTTCCAATTGGTGGATTAAGTAACCAATCAGAGAGTTATGAGTCAAATTACACAGCATGGGAAAATTCCACAGAACCTTCCCACACTGTGTAAAATGACACAAAGCACTTACCTGTCAGTCTCTTCATTTACCTGTCAGACCACTCTGATTAGATGGCTTAAACGCACCAATCAGAGTGCTCTGAGCTTAATTGCAGGGCTGGGCAAGGCTTTATAAGCCTTCCCCCACCCTGCAGAGCTCAGTCTGCGCGGAGCTCTCGCCGGGTGAAGATGGATTCTTTTTTTTTGCACTTGTTTTTTTTTTTAATTGCGTCGATTATTATGGATTTTTTATTTGGCCTTTTTTGGGGCTGAAAAAAAGAAGATTTTAGAAGAAAGAAAACATCAAATGGTAAGTTTTATTTTTTTTACTGGTACTTAGTTAAAGGTCCCCCCCTCATTATTTTTAGGGTGAGGGGGATAGGTAGGGGGTTCATTTTTTTGGGGGGAGGGGGTGACTAGGGCTTTGGGGACCCCTAGTCACCTGGGGGGGAGGGGTAACATTTTTTTTAGGCCATGGGGGAAGATAATAGGTCCCTCCTATTGGTATTTAGGGCCCCCACCTGCCGCTCAGGGGTGGGGGCCGGGGGGATGACCTTAGGTCCCCACCCCTTATTCCAATTTAGGGCCTCACCTGCCACTCAGGGGTGGGGGCCAGAAGGGAGGAAATTAGGTCTCCCCTTATTAGTATTTAGGGCGCCTCCAGCCGCTCAGGGGTGGAGGTCAGGGGGGAGGATATTAGGTCCCCCCCTATTGGTATTTAGGCCCCAACCTGCCGCTCAGGGGTGGGGGCCAGGGGGGATGACCTTAGGTCCCCCCCCTTATTAGTAATTAGGGCCCCCACCCACTGCTCAGGGGTGGGGACCAGGGGGAGGACATTAGGTCCCCCCCTTATTCCAATTTAGGGCCCCCACCCGCCACTCAGGGGTGGGGGCCAGGAGGAGGACATTAGGTCCCCCCCTCTTATTAGTATTTAGGGCCCCCACCCGCCACTCAGGGGTGGGGACCAGGGGGAGTACATTAGGTCCCCCCTTATTAGTATTTAGGGCCCCCAGCCACTGCTCAGGGGTGGGGGCCAGGGGGGAGGACATTAGGTCCCCACCCCTTATTCCAATTTAGGGCCTCACCTGCCACTCAGGGGTGGGGGCCAGAAGGGAGGAAATTAGGTCCCCCTTATTAGTATTTAGGGCGCCTCCCGCCGCTCAGGGGTGGAGGTCAGGGGGGAGGATATTAGGTCCCCCCCTATTGGTATTTAGGGCCCCAACCTGCCGCTCAGGGGTGGGGGCCAGGGGGGATGACCTTAGGTCCCCCCCTTATTAGTAATTAGGGCCCCCACCCACTGCTCAGGGGTGGGGACCAGGGGAAGGACATTAGGTCCCCCCCTTATTCCAATTTAGGGCCCCCACCTGCCACTCAGGGGTGGGGGCCAGGAGGAGGACATTAGGTCTCCCCCTCTTATTAGTATTTAGGGCCCCCACCCACCGCTCAGGGGTGAGGGTCAGGGGGGAGGACATTAGGTCCCCCCCTTATTCCAATTTAGGGCCCCCACCCGCCACTCAGGGGTGGGGACCAGGGGGAGTACATTAGGTCCCCCCTTATTAGTATTTAGGGCCCCCAGCCACCGCTCAGGGGTGGGGGCCAGGGAGGAGGACATTAGGTCCCCCCCCTTATTTTACTGTAGGGCCCCCACCCGCCACTCAGAGGTGGGGGCCAGGGGGTAGGACATTAGGTCCCCCGTTTATTAGTATTTAGGGTCCCCACCCACCGCTCAAGGGTGGGGACCGGGGGGAGGACAATAGGTACCCCCCCTTCATTTTACGTTAGGGCGGGGGGGCAATAGTTTAGTTTAAAACCCTCCACTTGCGCGTTTCGGGAGGGGGGACCCTATTTTTTTTTTTTTAAACAGTGAGTAGCCACAGGCTGCTCACTGTTTTCTAGACATGCCACTACTCGCGGTATTGCAAGTAGGGGCAAAATTTACTAATAATAAGTAATTTTTACTTAGTATTAGTAAATTTGGCTGAAAGACCAATTTAGGTCTTTCAGCCTTTTGGTAGATAACTCCCTATTACCGTGGGAATTATGGAGTTATCTACTAAGCGGCTGCAAGAGAAGTCCTGAAGTGCCGAAGTCCTGAACTTCTGAAATGCCGAAGTTCCGAAATTCCGAAGTGTTGAAGTGCCGAAGTGCCGAAGTTGCCGAATTTCCGAAGTGCCGAAGTTCCGAACTGCTGAAGTGCCAAAGTTCCGAAGTTGCCGAAGTTCCGAAGTGTTGAAGTGTCGAATTGCCGAAGTCCCGAATTGCGAAAGTCCCAAATTTCGGAATGCCAAACTGAACCGAAAATTTTCCCCTTGCACATGCATAGTTGCATGACAGATGGGGATCGACCTTTTGCCCTCTCTACTTTATGTCCGCCTCTGTGTTGGGGTGGGGGGCTTGATTGCATACCAGGGAGGGGACGACTGGGTACAGGGGGCCCAAGAAAATGTTTGCCCAGGGTCCAATCAATATTAAAGACGGCCCTGATAACAAGACACTAAGTTGGTAGCAGACAAACCATAATCAGTTCAAGCCAAGGTCAGGAATCCAAAATAAAATACAGTTATAGGAACATCACACACAACTCCACTCCCACTTCCCCCAAAACAAACACAGTTTTAACTTTTACAAGGCTACTTAAAATCATCTATCTTTGCAAACAAATATGTGGATTCAGTTCCACCATATGGCCATATTGTGTTAAGCCAAGCACTATGTCACAGTACCCCAATATCGGTGGGGCCTACACTAATTTTAACACGGGAGATTTACATGCTAACTTGCAATACTTACAACTGTTTTCAGAGACTCCTCAATTTATGCTATCCTGTGGTCACCCCAAAAGAGGCACCTATAGTGAATGGGTGTGGTGCTCAGCCCAGCAGGAATCTGGTCTCCATTCCGAATCTACACAGAAAAAATTGGAATCACCTATCCTTGCAAACACATATGGGAATTCAGTTCCACCAAGTATTGCAAGTTAGCATGTAAATCTCCCACGTTAAAATTTCTGTAGGACCCACCAGTATTGGGGTACTGTGAAGTAGTGGTGGGCTTATCACAGTATGGCCATATGGTGAAACTGAATCCTCATATTTGTTTGCAAAAATATGTGATTTTAAGTAGTAAATCTTCTACCCCATTATATTTACTGAACTCATCAACAAACTTTGGTTTATGCATCAGCAGCATGTCCACTGTTTCTACAATATGTCATCTACTGGAGGAAACCACTTTTTGTTTACTGAGCCATAGGTTCGGTTTATACAATAAAAAAAATGAAAATCCAGCGCACTCCGTTATCCCCTAAACAGCAACTTCAGTGCTGACAGATTTAGTTAGTTAACTAAAAAAAACTAACTAAATCTGTCAGCACTGAAGTTGCGGTGTTTAGGGGATAATGGAGTGCGCTGGATTTTCTTTTTTTTATTGTATAAATTGGCTCCCAGCAGCACCCTATTTATGCATATTCGGGTGAGTGCAGCCAGCCCTCTGTTTGTGACCACAGAATCAGGGTATCCTCATGGAGCAAGGATTATCAATGCTCCATTTATAAATGCCAAATGCCCAGGTATAATCTGCTGTTCATTTGCATTATTATAAAAATTTTATTCAGTATTATGACCACTTTTATGGAATATATCACTTAAAAATCAATCTTTCTTTACATTTCTGCAGGGTTCTGCAGATGTTCTTGATAAGGGTTTGTATCTTATATGTGTATAACTTGCCATAAAATGGGTCATTTTTAATGGTCACTGGGCATTATCATTAAAATGGAGGAATCACATCAGTTACTCATATCTATCCCTCTTCATAGTCCACAGACAAAGGGGTTGCCTGGCCATGATGTGGTGCTTGTGCCAATAGATTTACTGTTTTTTTGTTTTTATTATGCCCATTACTATGGTCAGTGACCAAAACATTCTCATCTCTGTCAAGACAGTGAAATGCCAGGCATTTCTTTTGCATTGGTATGAACCTGAATAAGCTGGCAAATACTGGCTGACCTTCAAATTGAAACCAAAAAGTGCAAATTTAAGAAATATCTTAAATATACACAAGAGGGCGCTAGATACTAACAATGAACATACAAACATTTCATTTATTAAAAAAAAAATGTAATGAATGCGTTAGCATCAGTGGTGGACCTCACAATCTGAACACCAAGACGAAAATATATATAAATATCTGAATGTAAAAATATGTGTATGAATACATTGCAAGTATAAAATTAAAAATATTCATAAAAAAGGAAAATCCCCACTTAGCCTACAAACTTAAGTATGAAAATTGTTACTTACAATCTTAAAGGTTTGAATACACCGGGTAAAAGGAGATTTTTACTTAAAGACCTCACAAAAAATAACATAGACATCACATGTATATAAGAAATTCACTTTCAACGGGGACATATTCCAGCCCTATTTACCAAACACTACCCCACCCAATACATGCATTATCAGATAGTAAGACTAAAGGGGTCTCCATTTTTATACACAGGATATAGCCTTTACGCTCCAAAAACAATACATTGATCCGAATGGACGGTTTATTATCGTACTGGGTTTATTCAATGATACCCAATATACAATGGCTACGGCCTACGTCCCTAATGATAACTCGAAGAATTACCTCCACTCACTGCTTAATAAAATTGAAAAGTGTAAATAGGGCAGCCTACTCCTTTGCGGAGATTTTAATTTCACGCAGACTAGCCTGGACACGACAGCCCCCACTACTGGCCTCAACCATAGAGCCAGAGAAAGGGCGAATAAGGTTCTCACCAAACTCATATCTCTTTACGACCTATACGATGCCTGGAGGACTCTTCATTCTAGTGAGAGGGATTACACGTTCTATTCCAGAGTACATAACACATATACCTGGATAGATGCTTTCTTAATGGACAGAGCATTACTAGCCCAACTCTCTAGATGCGATATCGGAGAGATAACTTGGTCAGATCACGGTGTCTAGGCTGGCTAGGAGCTAAGATGTTATCTTACTAAGGTGTATAATAAAGTAGCGTAAACAGACAGTTCCTATATACAGATTGACATGCCTAGCCGTCAGATTTAAGCACTAAGGGTACTGGCCGCTTTGATTCAAGTGAAAAAAGTACTGCCTTTGTGAACATCTCTAAATTTAAAAAGAGGAGTGAGATAACAGAAACTTATGAATTTATCAAACTGTTCGTCTGTGTGGGTTCTTCTCATGTCGGTGGTCTGGTACAAGATTAGCCCTCCGTGTCGTACAGCCAACACCATCCCTGGAGGCCGGACAGGTGCGCTGGGAGTGAGGGCTGGCGAGATTGTCGATGGGGAGAGCTGCAAGAGGCAGGTATTGTGCGTGTGAGTCAAGCTGTTTTGCGGCAGTGAGATGCTGTAACGAGAATATACCCCTACACGCAGGATCCAGCTAAACAGAAGCCAATACAGAGGAGAGATACGTCTACCGGACCTTAGAATGGCTGGACTCGACGTATATGAGAGGAGACAGAGCCAGGAACAAACCGAGGTCAAGGGCACAGAGAGACAGCGTAAACTAGGACAAGCCGGGGTCTGGTACACGGAAAACAGCAAGCCGGCAAACAGTACAGATAAGGATAAAGCGAAAACGAAGTCAGAATACAAAGCCAAAGTCAATACGAGAAAACACAACTGAACACCACAAGCGCTAAAGGGAACTGAAACAGAAACCACGATAGGGCAACGAGCTAAGGGAAAAAGGTAAGTTTAAATAGCTTTTAAACGAAAGTGATTGGCTCCTGTCACTTCCACACCCCCAAAAGGTAATTGTATAGGGAGTGTGGTATGACAGGAGCCAATGGGAGCCTTTTGGCAATTAGGCTCCCACTGTCTCTTTAAGAGCGCGCCCGAGACTCGCGGCGCGCTCTTAGTTTCAGGCGGGACACGTGACCGCTTCACGCGGTCACTGCCCGCCTTCCATCTAAAGCAGTCGGATGAGCCGCAGGACCGCGCGCGGCTTGAAGAGAGGACCGCGACCGGCCCCCGGTTAAGGTAAGTAACGCTACAGTACCCCCCCCTGAGGACACGCCCTCCGGGCGGGTAGGACCAGGCCTGGCAGGAAAACGAGAATGGAAAGAGCGCACAAGACGGGGAGCATGAACAGCATCAGCCGAAATCCAACTGTGCTCCTCAGGCCCATAACCCTTCCAATGTACCAAGTACTGAAGTCGACCCCTAAGGAAACGAGAGTCAAGAACAGCAGACACTTCAAACTCCTCATGACCCTCCACTGAGATAGGAGGGGGAGGAGGAGTATGCCGGGTATAGCGGTTGCGTACGAAAGGTTTCAACAATGAGGTGTGAAAAACATTAGGAATACGTAGATTCTTAGGCAGGCCTAAGGCATAAGAAACAGGATTAACCTTATGTATAATACGATAAGGTCCAATGAAGCGGGGAGCCAATTTCATAGAAGGCACCCGGAGACGAATATTCCGCGTGGAAAGCAAAACCCTGTCCCCCACAACATAGGACGGAGCTGCTCTGCGATGCTTGTCAGCCTGAGCCTTCTGGCGAGTAGCAGAGTCCACCAAAGAACGCTGAACCTGCTCCCAAGTATTACGCAAACCAGCCAAATGCTCATCCAGAACTGGCATGCCCTGTGAGGAGAATGCAGCCGGAAGAACAACGGGATGCAGGCCATAGACAACGTAAAAAGGGCTCTTGCCGGAAGAATCATGAGTGGCGTTATTCCGAGCAAATTCAGCCCAAGGAAGCAGGTCAGACCAATTGTCCTGATGGTGAGACACAAAACAACGGAGGTACTGCTCCAGAGACTGGTTGGCACGTTCAGCAGCCCCATTAGACTGGGGATGATAAGCGGAAGAAAATGAGAGAGAAATACCCATTTCTGAACAAAAGGCTCTCCAGAACCTGGAAATAAATTGGCTACCCCTATCGGATACAATAGATACGGGAATACCATGTAACCGAAATACTTCTCTAGCGAAGATATGAGCCAGTTCCTTGGATGTGGGCAACTTGTGAAGAGACACGAAGTGAGCCATCTTGGAAAACCGATCCACTATCATCAGGATTACTGTGTTACCATTTGAAGGGGGTAATTCAACAATAAAATCCATGGACAGGTTAGACCAAGGTCTCTCGGGAACGGGTAACGGATGCAACAGCCCACAAGGAACTCTACGGGAGGATTTCATACAGGCACAAGTAGTACAAGCACTTATATAGTCAGTGACATCCTTTCGTAAGGAATCCCACCAAAAATACCGAGAAACAGCTGACACCGTTTTGGAAATACCAGGATGTCCAGCAGTCTTAGTATCATGATATAATGACATAATATCCCGTCTCTCGGGAACATCAACGAACAGTTTATCATTAGGCCTCTCGCTAGGTGCCATGCTTTGTTTCGCTTGTATGGCCTGCAAGAGGGACGAGGAAATAGACAAAATAGTAGTAGCTATTATCCTGTCTGGGGAAATGACAGGAGTAACATCAATCTCCTGTTTGTCAGTAGTTTCGAACTGTCTGGACAGAGCGTCTGCTTTAGTGTTGCGATCACCTGGCCTATAGGTGATAATATAATTAAAATGAGATAAAAACAGTGACCACCTAGCCTGCCTGGAAGACAATCTTTTAGCTTCGCTAAGGTAGGATAGGTTCTTGTGATCCGTAAAAATGAGGATAGGATCCTTAGTTCCTTCTAACAAATGTCTCCACTCTTTAAGTGCTAAAATAATAGCAAGGAGTTCGCGATTACCCACATCATAATTTTTCTCTGCTTTGGACATTTGTTTAGAAAAGAAGCCGCATGGATGCAATGGCTTTTCAGGCGACTCTCTTTGGGATAAGACAGCACCTACCCCAATATCTGAAGCATCAACTTCAAGAATATAGGGCAGTGAGGGGACAGGATGCTGTAAAATAGGTGCAGAGGCGAACGTAGTTTTAAGAAATTCAAAAGCCTGAAGTGCCTCGGTAGACCAAACACGAGTATTGCCATCCTTTTTAGTCATACGGGTAATAGGTGCTACAATGGACGAGAAACCTTTGATAAAACGTCTATAATAATTGGAGAACCCAAGAAAACGCTGAATAGCTTTCAGACCTTGCGGTAGAGGCCATTCTATTACAGCAGCAAGCTTCTGGGGATCCATACGAAAACCTTTAGCGGAAATCAAATACCCCAAAAACTGGACTTCGGTTTGGTCAAACAGACATTTTTCTAGCTTGCAATAAAGACCATTAGCAAGTAGGGTCTTCAAAACTGTCGTAACATGTCTGTGATGAGTGTGTATGTCTGTAGAATATATTAAAATGTCGTCCAAGTATACGATAACAAATGTGTGAATAAAATCTCTTAAGACATCATTAATAAATTCTTGGAATA